CGCACCTGGGCTGGGCCGTCCTGTATGAGCTAAGCTGCCCCCCATCTCTTGAGCGTTTCTACCCGCTCTCCCTTCCTTCCCTTCTCCAGCTTCCCCACAACCTCTCACATCAAGAGAGTCTTTCATTCCCTCGTAAAAGCGAGTAACTGGGAGGAAAAGCAAGGACGCCTGGCCTTGCTGTGTTTACAACATGCGTCCTCCTGGCCTTGACGGCTTCCCGTGGTCAACATGACTCACAATCCTCCCTGTTGAGAGTGCTCTAGGTGGTGCTTACGGACTCTGGCGGAGGCCCTGGCAGCTCGCGTGGCAACACAATGGCTTGCTGGCACTCAGGACCCGCTGGGACCCGCCTCCCCCAGTCGAGGAGAGCAGGCCCAGAAAGCACGTCACCTGCGGTCTGGGCGATGGGTTTCATTTCTTCTCACAGGAAGGGAGGAGAAGGAAGACTGAACGCAAGTAAGAATCAAACTCTCGGATGGGAGCAGCCTTCACCGCGACCGTTTGGGTTCGAAACCTCCATTCTTTGGCCTGATTCTCAGCTCCTGGTGCTCCTCCGAGGCCCCTCTTCTGGCCCCGATCCCACTGGTGTTGGTAACAGCGGTTCAGGCAGTGGCGCATCATCCCAAACGCAGCTTCAGCACAGCAGCCCCGTCATGCAGGGCAGTGCCCCATTCGCAGAATGTGCCATACGAACACAGGGCATGTGCCCAGGCACTTGGGGAAAAGTTAAGAGCCACCTGCTTCAGCTTTTGCTCTGTACCTTTATCCTTGCTATTACTCAGTTTTATCTCTGGGGCCAGGCACTAGTTCGAACCACTCCTGAATGTGTTCTCAGATCTGCTTTTTATTTTAAAATAAAGCTTTCTACCCACCCATCCCTTGGCCAAAGCCACCACCTCACCCCTCCTGACTCTTTGCTCTTGTCAGTTTCAAAACTTGACCCTATCAGTGAACCTCATTAAGTCAACGTCCAAGTCCCACCTAATCAATTTCACAATGCAGATAGAAAACCCCATAAGTTGATTCTCCCTGTTTATACCAGGAGACAGGATCTTATCTTCTAGTATCCCACAAGGAAATGATAGCTCCAAGCACATTGTACCTGGAGGTGGAAGGAAAGTACAGATTCTCCAAGGATATATTTTAAGAGCACCGGGAGGGGAGGGGGAACCCTACCCAGATATCTGAAGGGAAAGTTTTTCCAGGAAGATAGGTTGGTGTGTCCATCATGTGATCTGTGAGTGGCATACTTGTTGCATTAACACCACGTAAGAGCCACACCGATCTTTTCCATGCGTCATGCATGAAATGCCACACCTAGAAGCGACGTTGAATCTCACCACATTCCTGAACAAACCAGCATCCAACTTCTTGGTTGGCCTTGGCTAAACAGAAATTCTTTCATTTGCAACTTGGATTCAGAATTCACTACCAGGCAACCTTTGAAAATGATGAGAACGGGCGAAAATAATATATGTGAAGCGCTTGATGAATTATATCACTATTTCAATTGGTGCTTCGAAAAACACCAAAAACTGAGTATCGTTTTCACTAGCAGAGGGTGGTTAAAAGTACAGCTGCATTTTGAGCAGAATCACAATCTAGTTATAAATTGATATACCAGCTTTCTTATATCCAGTACTTACGAGGATAAGGTGAGCATAAAACACACGAATTAGGATTGTGTGCATAAAAGTAGAGTACTATGAAAAGGGTTTGCAAAAATGTGTGATAATAAAAAATGTCTATAAAAAATGCACATATTAAGGAAAGAGCTGTTCAAAAGTCTTTATATAATGGGAACTCCTCATGAAAATGCATACAAATATTCCTCTTTTTTTTTTTAATGCGTCTTGGAGGTTAGCCCTATGAAGAAGACAGTGGTAAAACAGTCCCCACATTGTTCCAATCACATACAGATCTGTTCTTGTCTCTGCTGTGAAGAAGAAAACCTACAGCAGAACCATGTGGAAGATCACCAGGGAGACACAACTTGCAGACAACACAGGTCTGACTTTCCTTTAAGAATCCTTCTTAGGTGTGTCTACAATGGGAATACCTCAGGGAGAAAATAATACAATTCAATCCTTATGGAAAACTCCACTAGCTTTCAAATGAACAAGTTGCTGATCCTAACAGTGGCACTCAGTATAGCAGTGTTTCTCAACCTTGGCAAGTTTAAGACATGTGGACTTCAACTCCCAGAATTCCCCATGTCTTAAACTTAAACTAACTATCTATCTATCTATCTATCTATCTATCTATCTATCTATCTATCTATCTATCTATCTATCTATCTATCTAAACTCATCCCAATCTACACATACTCAAATATCATGGGTAGGAGATCCAAGTACAGAAGATATAGGAGATCCATCAGCCCAACTAATCAAGTCATTGTCAGGTTCCTGGAGGTTTGGTGGGGATTATCTCCAGTTGACATGCCGCTCACCAGCCCCCCACTCACTGGACAGACAGACCACTGAACGCTGCAGAGGGGAGAGGCAGGGGATCAGGAGATGGTCAACCAGGTTTCATCAAGAGATACTGTGGATGGATGTGAGGGTTTGTGCATCCTGAATTGGCTTTGGAGACTTCCTCTCTAGCAAACCAAAAGCTTGCTAACCCCGGTAAGAAGAAAACGGATCCCCCCTGGATGCGGGCTGTCGAGTTCCTACAGGCTGTTTAAAAAAAAACACTTATGCTAACATGGCAAATGGCTTGGGTTGTTGGTCCAGAGGCCATGCAATCTATAAATAATTTTATCGTGTACTGAAAGTGCTGCAACTGGATCAGGGTTTTCTGTTTTTCCGTTCCTCCCCTTCCCTGGATTGCCTGGCCTCCCACTTTCCAACATCACAGGAACCTGGAGAATGAACCAAGCGATTCCCTTACCTTGCCATTGGGGCTGGCTTTCTTGAACACTCTGCAAAAGAAGAGGAGGAGAAAGGTGAGATAAACAAGATGCTTCTCACCCCCATTTCAACAGCTGTTAACCACCCTGTCAGGGCCCCAGATGTGCCCATATGTTAGAACCCATCTGCACCCATCTGGGTCCCATTCCATGGAGGGACCCAGTTCTATGCACACATGGTTTCCTTCAAGTATCTGGAGCTGAGCTAACAAGGAAGCCCCATCCCTGTGGAGCATTTTTAAAGCATCCACAGAAATCAAGGTGAAGCCTCTAAGAGCAAGTAATTATAGCTTGAGGGCCCAGTTGTGACTGTGGATGAATGAGCAGCTCTTCATCTCATTTTGCAAATGCTTTGCAAACGAGGGCCAAATACTCAAATCTTCTGTCCCTTCCCTGCACCTTGGAAGAAAGAAGGGAGGAGCCAGAGACACCTCTGGATCTTTGGGGTCTGATGTCACTTTAACAGTTTCTTATTTTTATTTTCCATGGGCATTTTTCACTGGTCGGTATCACATAGGCTGCCAAGAATGGGTTTGGATTATGGTGGAACAGAAATGCCATAACTACATAAGCCAATGTTAAAATGGGTGCCCCCCCCATTTTTTGGGCTCTGGCCCCACCTGCTTGCTGCTTCGCTTCTGCCCACCATGGTCCCAAAGAATTTTGCTCTAAGGATCTACAACTGTCAATGGAGAGACAGTTTCAAAGGCCGTTTCCCCCAACCCAGCAGTCTCCAGATCAGTGTTTCTCAACCTCGGCCACTTTAAGATATGCGGACTTCAACCCCTTGCTGGCTGGGGAATTCTGGGAGTTGAAGTCCGCACATCTTAAAGTGGCCGAGGTTGAGAAACACTGCTCCAGATAGATTCAAGACCTCCCATCGACCCCCAGCCCACTAACCATACTGGCCATATGTGACAAGAGTCATAATATGGGGCTAGTGGCTTCCTGCGGATCAGAGCTCTCTGTTTCCCGCACCAACTCAAGGAAAGTGGCCTTAGCAAGTATTTTTGGGGTAGCTGGGGTGCTCTTTGCTCAAGCCAAGCCGGAAACACAAATACACTTAAATATTGTACCAAGTTAATTAACTTTATCTGTGAATATCATTCTGAGTGCTCCTATTTCAAGGCTCCAGCTAGCTCCCAAATTCCTTTCTGCAATAAAATTCAGTCTAACACTGAAAACGCGGAGTGCATAAAAATGACACCTAGTAAAAAGAAACATTTTAAAGCCGCCTCCTAAGCTGCAAGAAGTTGCTCCCAGTTACCATCCTGGCGCAAGAAAAGGAGAGGGACCTCTTGGGGTCAACCGTCCATCATGGGAGCTACAAAATGTGAAGATGCACAGGGTGGATGATCCAGGAGTAGGCAGTCCTTGAGATAAGATGGGTGTAAACCACGCTGGGTTTTATACACCGAGAGGAATTGGCCCCTGAGAGCACATCGTAAGCATTGCAGCTATTGCCACAAAAGGGCAATGTGGCATCTCCTGGAAGTGCCACCGGTCACGTTCTGTGCTAGCTGGATTTTCCTGGACTCTCTTCAAGGGATGCCCAGCATGAAGATCACTGCAGTAATCTAACTCTGAGACAGCCAACATGGGAGTCATGGATGTCAGGTCTCTCCCCCCACCCTACACACACACACAAATGGGTCCACTTGGCTTATCAAATGCAACTGATAAAAGGCCACCAAGGGGACCAAGGTAATTCCCCAGCGTGAACACTAGATTGGAGAGGACCCTATGAAATCTGCAAAGCAGAGCTTAGGATGGTGTTTCTCAATCTCAGTGACTTTAAGCTGTGTGGACTTCAACTCCCAGAATTCCCCAGCTAGCACGGCTGGTTGGGGAATTCTGGGAGTTGAAGTCCACACAGCTTAAAGTTGCTGAGATTGAGCAACACTGGTTTAGGGGAAATGCGAGCCTGTCCAGACCCAAGATACTTTATTCTTGGGAAGATTGGTGGAAGAGAAATTGCCTGGGCAAGATGACATTGACAGGGATCCGAACATTCAAGCAAATAAGGGTAAGTCATGAAAAGCAATGAAAGTTAGGAAACACTGTGTAGGCGGCAGAATCCATTGGATAAGAGACCATCAAGAAACCCCAAGTCTGACAGCCAGCCTGCGAAGCCATACGAACCTCCCAAACAAAGCCATTGACAAACGCCTTCCATAAGGTTGCCAAGAAAACAAGAAGGATGGGACTATGAACTCATCAGAAGTCAAGATTTATGGAACTAGGAATCTCCTACTGTCTTGCAGCCCGAGGGGAGAAAACTGTCTTCACAGAGAAAACGCTCTCCAAGGCTTGCTTGCCCAGTCTCCAACTGGCAACTTTCAGGCATCAGGGCCATCTTTTGCTCACCTAGACCTTCTCATGCTTCAGTTCACACTAGCATGTCCAGAATTTGCATGGGCTGATTTCAACAGACTAGCCTTCCTCAAACTGGTGCTCCCTGCCCCTCCACTAGGGTTTGCGGGATTTGATGTCCAACCCCACTTGTCCACAAAGAGATGCTTGTGTGAATCCTGCCTGGGGGTTGAACCGGATGTTCTCCAAGATCCCTTCCCACTTCTATGACATCTGGGGGCATCCAGTTGAGGAAGGCTGCAAAAGACCAAAAAGAGTGGAGCATTTGGCTATATCCAGGTCTAATAAGATCATCGTCATCTTATTTTTACCTTGGTTTGCTCTCTGTTGTAAGCAGCCCAGAGGCACATTGTTTGAGTTGGATGGCCATATATATATTGTTTAAATATTTATAAACCAATATTTCATGCACAGCTCCTGAGCAAACAGCTTCGTCTAAGCCAGTGTTTTTCAAACTTGGCCACTTTAAGATGGGTGGACTT